AGACAACGTCTTCTTTAAACTTCCTATATACTTTCAGAATTGTGTTTGAAACAAACAACGAACTCTATATTCCAGAAATTGCATTCAGTTCCATGTCAGGGACTATGTTTAATTAAACACAACGTTCTCTTTACACTTCCTATATATCACCATAAATTATGTTTAGTTAAACACAACGTCTTCTTCACACTTCATATGCATCGCCAGGAATAATATTTACTGAAACACGTCTTTTTTACGCTTCCTATGTAATCACCATATGTTATATTTAGTTAAACACAACGTCTTTTTTCAAATTTCTTATATATCACCATAAGCTATGTTTAGTAAAACGAATTTGTTATTATATATTAATTTTAATATCGACGTTTGTTTAGAATAAATTTATATTTAGAAACATACATAGCTTGTACTGTTAAATATGTATTGCGAAACTCCCGCCTATTCTTCAAAGTTGTGGAAGATTCTCGAGAGTAAGAATAAACAATATGTGTGTACGTAAACGCTTGTGTTAGAGCCAGTATTGTTACGTAAAACTGAAATTTCTAGAAAACCTCCACACGCCTATAAATATAACCAACGCAACACGCCAAAAGGAGAGTATCTATTATTAGTTTGCTATAGTCGGTGTGCTATGAACTTTGGAAGCTGTAACTGAAATTCTTATAACGCTTATCAATCGGAAAACTTCAGATATTTGACCAGGGGCATTTACAAAGTTCGAACATTACAAATCATTTAATTCACTGGATTCTCATCGGACATTAGTATTTTTACGAAAACATTACCTAACGTCATTTACAAAGTTCAAACAATACAACAATTTGTGAAACTTTTGTTTATAAATCGTTGTTTGTAATAACTATTTGTAATAATTGTTATTGTAAATTGTACTCTTGTGTGTATTGTTGCGTATCTACTCGTTGGTTAATTTCTGGTATAACTTCTTTCCGAGTAACTTCGGCGATACAAGTCCGTTCTTAATTAAAACTATTTATTCTTAAGAAACTTCTTAACTCTCTCACATTGTCTGGTGTTGGACAATCACGCACTACTTTCACCTTGTCAGGATCAGTTCACACACCATGCTCACTTACAATGT